TGAAATTGTTCGAAATTGTTGTTGCTTGAGATTGAAAATGAAAATGTGTGTGTGAGTTTGTGAGTAAATTTAAAAATTAAATTGTTTGGAAACGTCAAGAATTTTAAAAGTGACTCTCAGCGGTTCTACCTTACTATATTTTTATCATGGATAATACTATCAAACTTTTGAAATTATGTACTTATGTATGTATGTACCCTGCAAACCATTTTTTCAGAGGATTCTGCATTGTAAAGAAATTTTAAAGAATTTGTTAAAATTTAATTCGATTTTTTGCCGAATTTTCTAAACTGAAATAAATTACGCACACTTCCATTCTTTTACGAATTTTCGGAAGAAAATCTATGAAGCAACGAAAATAATGGTGCTATGTGAAGAATATCTTTCAGAATTTTTCCAGAATTTTCTTAATTTTTNCTTGCAGGGTATGTATGTATGTACCCTGCAAACCATTTTTTCAGAGGATTCTGCATTGTAAAGAAATTTTAAAGAATTTGTTAAAATTTAATTCGATTTTTTGCCGAATTTTCTAAACTGAAATAAATTACGCACACTTCCATTCTTTTACGAATTTTCGGAAGAAAATCTATGAAGCAACGAAAATAATGGTGCTATGTGAAGAATATCTTTCAGAATTTTTCCAGAATTTTCTTAATTTTTCGTACAGAAATTTCTTTACGAGTTCGTGTCAACCACTTCATATAATTTTCTTTGAAGATTCGGAAAAAAATCGTTACAGAAATCAGATACTCCTAAAGATTTCGTTAAGATTTCGGGAACTTTGGTTTGCAGNAACAAATCATTACAGAAATGAGATACTACTAAGATTTCGGGAACTTTGGTTTGCAGGGTAGCTACTATGCTTGTTGTGTATGCAGCGATTAGTAGAACATAAAATTGCCACATTATAGCAGTTTTACACATCTAGGCAAGCGGAGATGGTTTTCTTCACAGCATCACGAGCATATGGGATGTATGAAAGTGAATACCAGGTCATAGCTAACGATTGAATGATAATGAAAATTAATGTCAAGCCGGCTTTATGGAGCTATAAAGTTATTAAAAAAATAAAATGATTAAACTTAGTTTGAAGATATAAAAAAAAATATTAGAAATGACAAATATTTGTACCACAATTGCAGCTATGAAGGTCATAACTATCGATGCAAGCACAATGCAAGTGGCTATTAAGCGTGTAGATGAGAACATTTTCTTGATTTGATTAACTGGTCCCATAAGAAAGCAGGTACTGTAATTAATGAGTTATATATAAATAAGTTGCATTCAGAGCGTAAATAATATGTTAATGCATACCTCGCCATTGATATTATATTACCGAGCGTATAGAAGACCGCAAACACCACTACGCCGNAATTCGTAAACAAATCATTACAGAAATGAGATACTACTAAGATTTCGGGAACTTTGGTTTGCAGGGTAGCTACTATGCTTGTTGTGTATGCAGCGATTAGTAGAACATAAAATTGCCACATTATAGCAGTTTTACACATCTAGGCAAGCGGAGATGGTTTTCTTCACAGCATCACGAGCATATGGGATGTATGAAAGTGAATACCAGGTCATAGCTAACGATTGAATGATAATGAAAATTAATGTCAAGCCGGCTTTATGGAGCTATAAAGTTATTAAAAAAATAAAATGATTAAACTTAGTTTGAAGATATAAAAAAAAATATTAGAAATGACAAATATTTGTACCACAATTGCAGCTATGAAGGTCATAACTATCGATGCAAGCACAATGCAAGTGGCTATTAAGCGTGTAGATGAGAACATTTTCTTGATTTGATTAACTGGTCCCATAAGAAAGCAGGTACTGTAATTAATGAGTTATATATAAATAAGTTGCATTCAGAGCGTAAATAATATGTTAATGCATACCTCGCCATTGATATTATATTACCGAGCGTATAGAAGACCGCAAACACCACTACGCCGCGGTGTAAGAAGAGCATCAAAGACCCGAGAAACGACAGTACGATGCCAAGTACAAAGCATATGCAAAAGCCTTTGATGCGTGTCGACCAGCTGAGCGTTGACATCTCATTGATCTGCAATGCAGTGATTCCAATATACATATAGTTTGGTGGAAAGAAGTTTGCATAGAAAATTAATTGATAAGAAATGTTGGAGTTTTTAAATTAGAATTTGTTTAACAATACGGATGTTTATGTTTAGAATAAAATGTAAATAAGTATACGTAAATACGTGAACTATTAATATATACATATGTATGTATATTACATATTTTCTTTTGATATGTGCGCTAGGTTTCCATAAATAATAATCATGTCGTAAACGCCCACCAATATCAGATGCCTATTAGATTCAGACTGGTCGTGTGGTCAACGGAGAATTCTCGGAAGAAGTTTATTCTACTTTCAAATATCAAGGCTATTTTTTGGTTCAATATTTTGCTTTAAAATACTCCTTTCGTCATACTCCCAATCCCTACGTGCTTTTAACAGGCACGCAAAGGGGGGGGGGGCAGGGCGTACCACTTGTTGAGTCAGCAGCTTTTCCGCAATATGTTAATTTATGTTACTTTTCAATGCAAGAATTGGAATTGGATTTAAATATTTAATTTTTAGGAATTAGAGACCAAAGCTTAGTACTAATACAAAAATTAAATTAAACTTATCTACTAAAATGGTTTAAAATAAATAATAGTTCTTTACCTGGGTTATAATACTACTCTCCTCCTCTGGGGTGGAATCATTTCCGTTAAGCACGCGAC